ACAGTTAGGGAACTAATACTGAGAAACTCTCTCTCTCTCTCTCTCTCTCTCTCTATATATATATATATATATATATATTCATATTCATATTCATATAAGGTCAGACAATATCCTTATTAAAAAAAAATACCAGGTTACCTTTCATTCCCATCACGTAATTGAGATGAAAAACCCACCAGATCCACATGTATGTGAGGCCCAACTTACTACGTTGCTGTCATATCAGAGCGAGAAATGTTTTATGTTTCAAGCCCAAAAAGGCTTCTCTCACAGCCACCCGCCCTTCCCATTCCAAGGGACTACAAAGCCCATGACAATTAGAACTGTTTTTAGTAGCTCACCCCTTTTGTCAACTGCAATGAGGAAAGGTCTGCAGGGTGTCTGTGACAGACACTGGCCATTCCCCACGTATCCCTTCCCCCCCAACTTCAAAGGGGGTCGCGTAGCCACCGCCCCCTCCCAGTCCTTCATCCCCACCAGACCAGTTGGAAAGGCTCTGGCCTTTCTTCAAAACCCTTGCAGCTTCGAGCACGCCTCTAGGAGAGAGACTTAGCTTACGCACCACCCGGTTATCCCTCTTCCCCATGGCGTGCAGGAATCCCGGCACCCCAGCGACGAAAATCAAACCGGCCTAGCTGGAACCCCTTTCTCTGCTACCCGTCAAGTTTTTAACATCAGATACTACTGAGCATGCTCAGTGACACCGAACATGCTCAGTGGCAGCCATTGAAGCCGTTTGCCCTTCCTTCTTTGCCCTCACGCGGAGAAAAGGAGGGGTCTAAGAGCTCGGCGCTTCGTATGTACTGCTATAGTATGATTCTTTTCCTTTTTTGCATTTATATTGAAGCTAATACTTTTAACTGTTAAAATATGATATGGGGCTAAATATAAGGAGCGTGAACTCGACTGCAATAAGTCGAGAGAGCCCCAGGATTGCCCAAATTGTGGGGTAAGACGTAATACTCGTTTCTTCTCCCGGGTTCCTTATTCGCGGGAGATTCGAAAGAGCTCAATCGGTACAGTGAATATACGTCTAAACTTCCTACGATGCTGGATGTAAAAGAAGCATAGAGCATATCATCTCTCTAATTAGGACACACTGCCCTTCCAGGTGAAAAAAAACAAAACCTAATGCAATAGAGCAAGGATGCGGGAGTAAGTAAACTTCAGCCCGCGGGAAAGACTTAAAGCAGTTTCTCAAACTCAACTTTAAGGTGTGTGGACGTCAGCTCCCAGAATTCCCCAGCCAGCATGCGCTGAGGTTGAGAAATACTGACTTAAAGGATGCTTTTTTAACCCCCACTGGAGCAAGACGGGCATGCCCCAGCTTCCTTCTGCACATCCAGAAAGTTGAGCAATGGGATCTTTTCTGCGTTTCAAGGAATTTCTGAATTATAGGCATTAACTTGTTCCTGCTACTTACCCAAGTGCAAGAAACTCAGCAGGAAAGATGGGAGGCATTGGTAGAATTAGCCTGGAGAAGACATGATAGCAGTCTTCAAGTACTGTATCTGAAATGCTGCCATTTAGAACAGGGTTCCTCAACCTTGGCG